ACCGGTTATTACTTATTTAATGAATGTTTGTATTGCAAATGCATATTTTCCTCTAGCTTGGAAAGAGGCATTGGTAACTCCAATTGCTAAAATTAGTAAACCTACATCACTAAATGACTTTAGATCTATATGCGTGCTGCCGGTTCTATCGAAGATTTTAGAAAAAATTATTGAAAGTCAACTTAGACCTTTTCTTGAGGGTCATGGAATATTACCTAAAAATCAATCAGGTTTCCGCCCTGGCTTTAGCTGTGCATCTGCTCTTTCTTGTATAACTGACGATATTATTAAAGCTTACGATGAGAATAAAGTCAGCATTCTTGTCCTTTTGGATTACTCGAAAGCATTCGATATGATCAATCATCAAATCTTGCTTTCTATCCTTCACTATGTAAACCTTGATTACAATGCAATAAGATTTATAAAATCATTTTTAAGCGATAGGAAGCAGAGAGTAAGAATTGATGATGAAATATCTGATTCAGACGGAGTTTTTTCGGGAGTTCCGCAAGGAAGCATTTTGGGACCCCTATTATATATTTTGTATACATCAAACTTTTATGAATCTTTTAATTTCTGCCAATATCACGTCTACGCTGACGATACTCAACTGTATTGTTCTTTTAATGCAGATCAATTAAAACAATATGAAAATTATATTAATAGAGACCTTGAAGTGCTACTTAAAAAATCAACAGATCATCAATTAAATGTTAATCCTGACAAATCCTCTGTCTTAGTATTTGCTAATGATTCCATGCGTCCTTTTATCGCTAGTAACCTGAAAATTAAATTAGGAGACATGGATCTTAAATTTGTATGTAATGCTAAGAACCTTGGCCTTATGTTGGACAGCAAACTGCGTTTTAATCTCCATGTTAACACCATTCTTAAAAAGAGTTATGGAAGCTTAAAATTGATCTATCCACATAGACACTACTTAAATTGTAAAACAAAAAAAATTCTGTCCGACTCACTGGTATTAAGCCATAGCAACTACTGTGACGTTGTATATGGACCAAATCTTGACAGTGTTGATATTAAAAGACTGCAAATCCTTCAAAACGCTTGTTTAAGGCTAATTTTTGGTGTCAGAAGAAGAGAGCATATCAGTCATAAACTTTTGGAAGCTGGGTGGTTGTCTATGATAAACAGAAGAACTTTACATATGTGTTGCTTTTATTACAACATATTAAAATATAGAAAACCAGCATATTTGTTGGACAAAATCAGGTTTAGAACAGACATACACAATTTAAATATAAGAAGAAAATTTATTTTAGATGTGCCTAAGCATAAAAAAGAGATCTACAAACGTTCATTTTCATACAACATATGCAAGTTGGTTAATACCTACAACATTTACGATTTTGATGCTTCTGTCAATACCTACAAGTACAATCTAAAAAGTTTATTATTACAGAGCCAGTGATCTTACAACATGCAATTTTGTAATTTTGTTTTTCTTTATTATTTTATGTTACTTACTTTATATTTAGTTTAATAATATTTTTACAGTTTTTTGGGATGTTAATAATTATAATTATTTTTATTTGTCTTGCAGGGGACTGCGGAAGAGCAGATTCCAATTTATTTGGAAATCTGAGCAATTCTCCTTTTACCAAACTTTTTCACTTTGTATTATATGTTTTTTTTTTCTTGTACTTTTTTGTTTTTGGGTAATAAATCTATTATTATTATTATTATTATTATAAAACAATAGATTAACCATTCTTGGGAATCCGGCGCACAGTGTTTCAATTCTCGAAAATATCGGCAAAACCTAAAAAATTTACATTTTTTTTAGGTAAATTTTGTGTTAGATGGGAAGTTAATACCTGTCTCCATCCTGTATTGAAAAAAAATTATATAAAATACGTATATTTTGTCTTGTACATCAGTTTAAACTTGACGCTTTCAGTTGAAGGTACTTTACACGCGATCGCTGCGGAAAATTGTTTATTGTTTAAAAGTGATTAACTTGTGTTTGGTGTGTCCGATTGTTATGCGGTTTGATGAAGGGTGATCTTCAAGGTATGTAAAATACAAATATGTATTTGTTTTTCGTAGATTTTGCTTGTGCAACGGGTTATCGTAACCGATGTGTGTTAAAAACGCAAACTTTGAATCGAGCTTTTAGAACAATGGAGCTACAAAAATTGTAATGAATTGTAAGGCATCACTTCAAGATCCTTTGAATAGCTTAGAGTTTTGTCTATCAAGCCATCAATAAATTATCTGCCCCAACTTGCCCCCGGCTCTTTAAAACTACATGTTCTTGGGCGCTCAGGCTCGGTTGTGGTAAAAACCTCGCGGTTTTAAGCCTGTCGCGCGCGTATCTGTGTTTTTGCTTTACAAAATATAAGATTTTTTTTATTTCTGGGTTGCGTTCATGACGTTTACTCGATTCACTCGGATTTAACTCAAAACGTTTATTACAACAGCGGTGTCTAGACTTTCACTTGCGTAAATCGTTCGTGTCTACTAAGATATTTAACAATGGTTTTACATATTTAACCCACCTCTTGTAGGTGCGTTAAAACAACTACGCATGCGCATTGTAGTGTGTTAATGTCAAATTTGAATTGTGGTTATATGTGTTGACAATTTTTTTAGCGAATCCAGTGACGGAGATTGTTTAATATATATGTACATAGGTATTAAATAATATCATATAAATGTAATTATAATAAAGTAAATTAGGCTATTTTATAAAAAAATCTTTTATTTACATTTTAAAAAGTTCCTCTTACGAGTTTTTAAATAATTTTGACAATTTTTTGATAAAAATGTCCGCCATTTGAGGTCCACCATTTTGAATTTTGGAATTCTGATTCCAGATTCATTATCAGCGACTACAAAAACCCCTGTAAGGTGATTTTTAATTTATTCCGTCAATTTTTTGACAAATATGTCCGCCATTTTGGATCTACCATTTTGAATTTTGGAATTCTGATTCCAGATTCGTTATCAGCGACCCCAATAACCCCTGTATGGTGATTTTCAATTTATTTCGTCAATTTTTTGACAAATATGTGCGCCATTTTGGATCTACCATTTTGAATTTTGGAATTCTGATTCCAGATTCGTTATCAGCGACCCCAAAACCCCTGGATGGTGATTTTCAATTTATTCCGTCAATTTTTTGACAAATATGTCCACCATTTTGGATCTACCATTTTGAATTTTGGAATTCTGATTCCAGATTCGTTATCAGCGACCCCAAAAACCCCTTTTTAGGGATTTTCAGGAGAATCCGACTACTCCTTGATATTTTGCCGAAAATTTTGAGAATTGAAACACTGTGCGGCGTGGTGAAAATGTCAATATGTAAACCATCATAATGAAAAAAAAACCAAAAAAAAAACAAAACAAAAAAATATACAAGCAATCCTAACCCAAATTGGTTTTTTAAAACTAAAATATATATCTGATACTTACATATACAAATTAACACCATACATGGTCTATATCGATACAAACCAAAATGGTGTTAAATATGGTTCGTTGGTCCAGTGTAAATTCAAATACTAAAATAGTGTAAATTTAACTCACACAGTATTAAAATAAATGTTACCTTTTCTAAATTGATCTCCTTTTCAGTGTTAAATATTATGTGTTTTTGGTGAAATTAAATCATACTACACAGAAACAAAGTTTCTTGACGCATATAGTATAGTATATTACGTGTGGTATTATTCCAAAATGAAACCCTCAACTGGCTAGAGATAATGTTTTTAGTGCGTTCCACCAACTTAAAATACTTCAAGTATTGACAGCTGTTTCCCCCTCTTTAGTATCGAACAACTTGTAGTGTCACACCAAAGCAAAGGACCACCTGAGCTTATATACTCCTCATGTAAGTCAACAGAGGCGAGATTTAAGAACATCACGTGATCCACACCGCCTTTGCTGCGATCGGTACATACTATGCAACAGGAATGCACGGCAAATTGTTTTAATCGTTTTAACAGAGTGCTTTAGGTTGAAGTAACTCTTATTTTACAAACAACATATTTAGTAAACTGAACCATACAGCGGGTTGGTTTCACTAAAGTTTTCTGGGTTAATTTAACCAATTTAAAAAAATAAAATAACTATCTAGTTTAGTATCGTCAAACTAATCTTTGTTTATATTAACCTTCCCACAGTTGATTTAAATAATTACTTATGTGTCTTGTCTCTTTAACATTTTTAATTATAAAAGAGTAAGTTTTTATTATATAAACTTTAAAATTTACCAAAATCGCTTACTTTTTGAATAGGTGGGAATTTTATTACCAAATTTGGGAAAAGTTGCTTTGGGATTTGTGATTATTTTTCGATATTTTTTAATTGCTAAAATTCTGGGCGTATGTCCAATCTATTGTATTAAATTGTCTATAATTTTTTGTCTTGCCTTTCAAATGTAATTAGTAACTATGGTAAAAATGATATTTATCTAAGTAAAAATGCAACAACCTGAAAATACCGCTTAATACAATTATTTTTAGCAATGTATCCGGGAAGCGAACTCACTTACAAGAAGAATAATCTCCCAGGATGTTTAGGTGGGTTGGAAAATTTCCAGTAACGACTCAAACAAGCAGGAAACTTGGATTTATCTACTTTGGTTCATTTTCTAAAAATAATACTCACTGAACAACATGCCGTCGCATAACACCTGGGTCCTTTCTTAACTACGTCTCTGTCCCTTTAGGATGATGGTCTTTTCCGAAGTGGATGCAATTACTAAAAATTACAATTTAAATTAGGATATCCGAACAGTATAAAGTTTTTATTCTTCATGTAATTACCTAATTATTTTTTCCATTTCCATAAAATAACTGTTTCGCCTTTACGTTGACACACCACGTTACAAGACGAACAGAAAAACCATAAATAAAAAACAAACATCTCATATTTCCTATTATTTTGAGATTTATTATTTTTAAATCTGCTGCTCCTGGGGAATTTTCGGTTTAGACAAAACTGAAACCCCTAAGACTTTATAATTGTATCACGATTGTTTTTTCTCTACAGGGAATACACTTTTCCAATGTTACTTCTGAATTTTTATTCCTTTATAAATTTATATTAAAAGGTCCATTATAGAAGAATACTTTACTAATAAATACAATGTATGTAAAAGATATAATTTGTAAAAAATTAACTATTGTTTATAAACTATACACTAGAGGCGATTCAAAGTTTACGTTCGATAGCTTATCCCTACTGTCCTTTTGGGCTTTTCCAGCATACAACTCCCCAATCTTATCTTCGCTTTCTCGTCTTTGTCTCAAATGTTTGACAGCATCGTAGAGCTTTAAAAATCTTTTGGTGGGTATTGAAGCTTCCCTTTTCGCAACCGGGGCTGCAGCTGGATGCGCAAGGTTGGTACGAGATTCGATAATATCTTTTAAGTCAAAATTGGGCTGGAAGTCTTCCCGTTTTCTTCCCAAACCTACGCTTTCTAGCTGTTGTTCCACAGGGTCCTGCATAAGACTGTTTTCGGTTAGAATTTCATCCACACTTTCCGCCGAAAAACTGACGGGTTGGTCCAAAGGTTCGTTGAAGGACCGCACAGGTTTGTTGACATTTTTCAATAGCCTTAAATGCTTGATGATGAACTCCTTGACAGGTTTCGCCCGAATTTTGCACTTCTCCGGCAGTTTCTCATATTTACTCAACAGTTGCTTAAGAACGGCGGTTTTCTTGTTAACTTCCTCCTGTTTATTTTGCTCCATTAGCACCTCCTTATTTTGCATCTTGAATAGAAAGGGTGAAGCGTTTGGTTCTTCGGTGTCCATTTCCTCCATTTCCATTGTTTTTTCCATTGGGTTGTCACATTTCGGGACCGTTATAAGATTGTTCAGAAAATCTTTAAGGTTTACCGACAATTCCAGGCATTTTGGTTGAGTGATTACGGTTTGCAGGTTGAAATTCGTCAAATACGCATTCAATATCTTACTCACGGAATCTAACAACTTTTTTGCCAATATTATTTCTTGAGGTTGACGGGAATGTTTGTTGTCTTCGGATTTTTGTGTTGTCTATAACAAAACAAAATTATATTATACAGAACTCGCGCCACAGAGAAAAAGGGGTGATAGCAATGGAGATGCCAAATTTAATAGTTATTTATGATACTAGTGTGTTATGTTGAAAATAAGTCACGCGAGAAAGATTTATTCCACGAGGCCGTCAGGCCGAGTAGTATAAATTATCAAGTGACTTAGGAAACATAACACACGAGTGGCATACAACGTTTTATCAAACAAGTGGAAGAAATCGTTTTTTATCAGATAATAATTAATAAGCTTTGTGATCGAATCAAAGCTACTTGCGTCTCAGTACCCTATAAATGTCAGAATGACTTGACATTGACTTTTTTATATTTTGTTCAAATTAGGTTGTTTGTTTGGTTGCTACGGGCATGATACATTGTTAGCAAATGTTTAAATAAATTTTGACCCTTGTCAGTTTTCCCTGCAGAAAAAATTTTTTGAAGAAAAAAATAGAAAATGGAGGAAATCGATACGTAAGTACCTGAGGATTACATTTGCAAAAAAAATTAGCCCTATCTTCGCTATGGACCAAATACTCGATGCTTCGCTCGACTATACCTTTATAAAAAAATCGACATTTCAAAATATGGCAAACTAACGATCTTTTTGAAAATCAAATCACAGGGATGTAAACCAAAGAAGTCCAAGACATTAGAACGACCTGAAGTAGAGAAGCTCCCGACGACGAGTACCTGTTGATGGAATTGATGGGGATTAGCGGTGCTTGTAGATGCGATGAATTGGTCAATTTTAAAATAGAAAATATTCCAGACAAAGGGAAATATTTTCACGTAGTTTTGCCAGACACTAAAACCAAAAAATTGAGAAGTTTCACCATACTTGAAGAATGATTTTCAGTCAACCCGATCAATTTGTGTAAAAAATACGTCATTGAGACCAAATAATACTAGTTCTAGCCGCTTTTTTGTTTTTTACAAAAATGGGAGGTGTACCAGCCAGTGTGAGGGAATAAATACGTTGTCGAAGACACCTTCAAGAATTGCAATGTTTTTGAAATTGGAGGAACCAGCGCTCTACACCGGTCACTGCCTGAGAAGGTCTTCGGCGACTCTTTTGACCAATGCAGGGGCTAACATGACTACTTTGAAGTGTCACGGAGGTTTACGAGGTTCTAATGCGTCGGCGTCTTCCAGCTCTATCAGCAGCTGTACCGATATGGGAGCATGACTTCGAATAAGCCGTTTTCTTTTAATTTCTATATCAATGTAAATTCTGCTTGTAAATAAATAGAATACTACTTTATAACACACTAGTGTTTTATTTGATAGTTTACTTGTCTAAAATGACATAAGTAATGACAGTCATAACTGTCATGTGTTGGATAAAAATAAAAAAAATTTCCTAGCATTGTGCCCATACTCCCCATAAATATTCATCATTTCGGCATAATTAGAGGAGAAAAACATAACTTAAAATGATAAATAATGACAGCAACAAAAAATCACAGCAGTGTCACAATGAAGTGGATTCCAGCCGAACAACAATTAGAAGTTCAAGATTCATTAAATTTTTTAATTATAATCATGCAATTTTACCTATGAGTTTAACGCTGGAAAACATGTACTTACACAAAGACCATTGAATGAATGTATGACAGGACCAATATGATACTTCTTTCTAAGAGTCAATTTGTTATCTACATTATCTTTGACAGTTCTCAGTATATTGCTGCTTAAGTCGCCGTTTAGAAAATCATCAAAAACATCTATTTCAGTTGCGTCCTCTGCAGTCTAAAAATAATTCGTAAAAAATGGCATATTGTATGGTAAAATGTACCCTGTACTTACTGTAGTTTGTTCATCATCATCCTCGTCACCAATGGGAATCATTGTTGCCAAATTGTTCACAGTAGTTGTAGGAGTTGTGGAAGCCAACGAATCATTATCAGTGGGACTGAATTGGCTAAGATTTACAGTTTTGCAGCCGTATAAATTCGTCGAAACTTCAAATGTTGTTGTTAAAGCTGGCGTGGTGGTAATATTAACCTTTTCTTCTCTTTCCTGTCTGATAAAGTAATCAATTGGCTGTTCATCTGCCGCAGCAATTTTACTAGTTAAGGATCTCTTTTTGATTTGTTCGCGTTTGTTCATATCGTCCACCACGTATTTTGGCCAGTGTTTGAAATCCGAGTCTTCTCGTTCGCTGGCTATTTCTCTTTGAAAGTGTTTCCACACTTCCGTAGTGGCTAGAGGATTTTCCCCGTTCAATTTAAAAACGTAATCTTTAAATTTGTTGGTGATTATAGGGTGAGGGTAGTTGGGTTTTTCGGTGGACTTTTTAAATTTTTCTTTAAACAATTTCGGGCGATGGTGGGAAAACTCTGGCTGTTCTTGAAGAGTTCTGATATCACTTGGAGCATTTATTTCTCCTTCCATCTTTACATTTACTTGTTGTTGTAAATTGGCAGGTTTCTTAAAAGGGACATTGATGCCTTCAAGAATGTTCATATCACTTGGTTCTTGTACGTTAATATTTTCTTGATTTAGTGCATTAGCAGGTTTCTTAAAAGAATCATTAATGTCTTCGTTAAGATAATCTTCCAGACTATCCATTGGTATCGAGGGACTTGAAAACTTATTTTTGGTTTTCTTTAATGCTTTAACATTATTCATCTTTTCTTTCGTCGAGTCTTCTTCGTCACCATAGTCACCTTCGGCTCTTGCCGCCTTTTTAGAAATAACAGAATTTTGATTTTCGTCATCGTCATACGTAAACTCAGAGTTATCATTATTTACTGCCTCTTTGCTTTCATCTAAAATCAATATATCTTTTTCATCTTCGTCGGAGTTGATTACTCTACCATGTGAATTAGGTTTAATTCCCTTACCTCTCTTAGGTTTTGGAATAGTTGCCCTTTTCTTTACGCGCGGTTCTTTGTCATCATTGTGCTTTATCAATTTTCTTGCTTCCGATATATCATTCAATAACGCCTCCATATTATTCTCTTTTTCGCTGACTTTGCTTTGCCACACATGGCCATGGGTTCGCAATATTCTCGGTGGAATGACGTGTTTCGATTGGAAGAATATTTTCGCTGGGTTGAATTCTACATCATCGTCGAAGGAGCTATCATCTATTTCTGGATTCAAAGTTGTTGAAGTTGAGGAATTTCTCACATTTCTTTTGGACTTTATTGCTGGCACGCTCGTTGAATTTTCATTCTTTTGCTCCACGGACCGTAATCTACACATAAAATAACATTTATTATCTTGTTTAGAAGTTATTTCTCTTTCTAACCTTAAATCGGATATTTTTGGTTTTACACCGCCATAGAGTTCACTTGGATTTTTTTCTGAAAATGGTTCTGAATCGCTATTACTATATGGTTCTTCCAAATCGGTTTTGCCATATGGTTCTTCTTTATGGTTAGTTTCTTTTGGCAAGGCAATATGTGAAGGTGGTTTTGTTTGAATTCCTTTGAGTATCGCTTGTATACTTTGTTCTTTTTCGTTTCTGTTCATATGCAACATGTGACCGTGAGTTCTTAGTATTCTCGGCGGAATGAGGTTTTCTGTTTCAAAGAATTTATTTTCCGATTTGTATTCTAAATCGTCTAATTTTGGCATTGCTAGTGCTAAATCAGTAGTGTTTCTATCTTCTGATATGCTGGTGCTGTCCATTTGTTCAAGAGATTGCAACTTACGCATAAGATGGCATTTATAATCATCAGGAGGTATTTTTCGTTTAAACCTCTGCAACCTTGCCGCCCTTCTTTTACTAATTAATCCATTAGCCTTGTACCTCATTAATTTTGCCTTTAAAGCTTCCAAATCGCTTTTACTATACGGTTCCTGTTCGGTATCCTCTTCTTCGATACTTTGTTTCGGGTAATGTCCATGCGATTTTAGTATTCTGGGCAAGATTCCTCTTTTTTGCTGTCTTAAAAAACTGTTTATATATTTGCTGTCATTGGTGTATATTGGCTGTAACGATTTCAGTTTATAGGGTAAAACTTCTTGAAGTGTTCTTTGAATTAGATCACTTTGAACGGTGCTTTCATTTACTGTAGAGGGTGACTGTATATGGTTCGGAGAAAAAACAATGCTGGGAAAGTTCGAATTGGTTTTAGATTTCTTACCCAAAATACGTTTTATTAGTTTAGATTCTGGATCGTCTTCACAGACAATTTTGTTTTTTTTGTTTAGGTATCGGTTTACACCTGACATTTTGGCAATTTTATATTCATTGAAGCCGGCGTTTTCTCGGTACATACTTTCTTGTGCTTTAGGTTTCAGAACGATATTCGAAAAAACCGGTGAACGATTTGTATCCTTGCCATTATAACTTGGCATGTCTTCTTTAAAAATTGATCTTTTCTCTTCTTCCACAACGTCCTCGTCATAATCATGAATATCCCGCAGTGATGGCAAAGTATTGCTTTGCATGGCCTCAAAGCCTTTTTCCCTCATTTCCATACTTTGCTCGTGGACTCTATGAACATCTATTTCTGGCTTCATAGTTGTCTTTTGTTCCAGGGACCGTAATCCACACATAAAATTGCATTTATTATCTCGCTTAGAAGTGATTTCTCTTTCTAACCTTAAATCGGATATTTTTGGTTTTACACCGCCATAGAGTTCACTTGGATTTTTTTCTGAAAATGGTTCCGAATCGCTATTACTATATGGCTCTTCCAAGTCGGTTTTGCCATACGGTTCTTCTTTATGGTTAGTTTCTTTTGGCAAGGCAATATGTGACGGTGTTTTTGTCTGAATTCCTTTGAGGATCGCTTCTATACTTTGTTCTTTTTCTTTTCTGTGCATATGCAACATGTGTCCGTGAGTTCTTAGTATTCTCGGTGGAATGAGGTTTTCTGTTTCAAAGAATTTATTTTCCGATTTATATTCTAAATCGTCCAATTTTGGCATTGCCAGTGCTGCATCAGTAGTTTCACTATCTTCTGACAAGCTGGTGCTGTCTTTTTGTTCAAGAGATTGCAGCTTACGCATAAGATGGCATTTATAATCATTATCAGGAGTTATTTCTCGTTTAAACCTCTGCAACCTTGACTCCCTTCTTTTACTATTTAATCCATTAGCCTTGTACCTTATTAATTTTGCCTTTAAAGCTTCCAAATCGCTTTTACTATACGGTTCCTGTTCGCTGTCCTCTTCTTCTTCGATGCTTTGTTTCGGGTAATGTCCATGCGATTTTAGTATTCTGGGCGGGATTCCTCTTTTTTGCTGTCTTAAAAAACTGTTTATATATTTGCTGTCATTGGTGTATATTGGTTGTAACGATTTCATTTTATAGGGTAAAACTTCTTGCAGTGTTCTTTGAATTAGATCACTTTGAACGGTGCTTTCGTTTACTGTAGAGGGTGCCTGTATATGGTTCGGAGAAAAGACAATGCTGGGAAAGTTCACGAATGGAATTGGTGTTCCTTCGTAATTTGTTCCAAAGTCCGGATTGGTTTTAGATTTATCACCCAGAATACGTTTTATCAGTTTAGATTCTGGATCGTCTTCATAGACAATTTCGTTTTTTTTGTTTAGGTATCGGTTTACACCTGACATTTTGGCATTTCTGTAATCATTGAATTCGGCGTTACCTTGGTACATGCTTTCTTGTGCTCTCGGTTCCAGAATGATGCTGGAAAAAACTGGTGAACGATTCGTATCCTCGCCATTATTTTTGCCATTATAACTTGGCATGTCTTCTTTAAAAATTGATCTTTTCTCCTCTCCCACAATTTCCTCGTCACGATCTTTAATATCCCGCAGTGATGGCAAAGTGATGCTCTGCATGGCCTCAAAGCCCTTTTCCCTCATTTCCGTACTTTGCTCGTGAACTTGCTTTATGTCCAAAGCCATTGCAATGACTTTTGCCTTATCTTCACTATCCTGACCCTGGGCTTTCTCGATACCCTTATGGATTTGCTGCTTTTCCATGTTCGTCCAGTAGTTACTCATGTCTGAGTAGGTTAAAGAATTGGGAGCGTTCTGGTTTTCCAATAAAGTTTTCTGCTGCTCATTTTCCTCAACGTCATTTTGTTCTTCTTCGGACTTTATGTTAACATTGGAGTCGATGTTTGAATCTATAAAACTTTGATTGACACTGGGATACAAAGCATGGTGAACATTTTTAGGCGGTTCGTTTATGTAAACTTTGGAATCGTTTTTAATGTTTGATTTGGAAAAGTCTTTGTGTAGTGGTTTTTTCAGCATATTGTTTTTATTTGGGGCCGTCATTATTGCTATGGTTTTAAAATTACCACCTTTTAATCCGGATTTTTCTTCAATTAATCCATCTGGTCCCTTTGCAGCCAGTTCATTAAGGTTTACGCTGGGATTTGGTTCGATATAAGAAGCATTTTGGCCCTCTGAGTATGAAGAATATGAGTTTACTAAAGGCGCTTTATCAACAAATCTTACAGACTGTATGTCAGTTTCTTTGGCGTTTGTATCCAATAGTTTATTTAAGAGCGTTGGGTCTTCGGTTTCTTCTTCATTTGCATTACTTGACTCATTATTGTTACTCAAGTCATTACTTTGAGGCGCATCTCTTACTATTTGCTGATTGGCTTCATTAGTTTCGTCATTTTCATGAAGGATTTTTACCATAACAGGTTTCGGGTTTTCCACAAATTTATCCATCAAAGGTTCATCTTCCTGGTTAATGTATATGGGTCTTTTCGAGTCTGAAGATTGATAATTGACCATTTCATAAGTGGGCTTTTTGAATTTTTGTCTGACAAATCGTTGCTGGTTTCTAAACCTTTCCGGATATTTGCTTTCTATAGAATTGGATTCTCCGGATTTTCCGTTATCATTTATTAATATGCCGTAGGGTAAATGTCTTCTGTACCTAATGTTTTCTTCCGGACTCATAAACGTCCTGGGGTTATCGTTCTTATTACTGTACATGTACGGGTAAATATCATTTCCAGGATGGGAGTCTAAACTAAATTCTCTTTTGAACTTATAATTATTTAAACTCTAAAACATATTGATGTAGTAAGTAATAGGTATTTTCTGAAAGGGTGTTCAGAAATACGTTAAAAAACTAAAAGTGGTTTATAAATGTATTTTAGGTTTTTTGCATAATTAGGAATTGATGGGACACCTTAATGTGTAAATGAAAATAAATGTATGTAGATTTTTTAACGTTCTCTAAAACACCCTGATATGATGTTACATCGTAATCTTCGTCATATGTTGACCGATACTTTCGTTTGTCCAGTTCTCTGATTTCCTTAAAATCATCCTTGTAATTTTGTATTGTCGCGTAGAATTCATTTAGCTCATGTGGGAAAGATGGGTTAGGCTGGAATAACTACAAAAATTGGATTAAAAAATGTTCGTTTTTAGTGGATTATACTAGATTTTTAAATATTTTAAAGCATGATTTTTTTCCTTTAACTAGATATTATTGTATAAAAAAATTTACTCGTTTTTTGAAAGATATCCTGAAAAAATATTTTTCCCTCCCACCTTTAAAACGCCCATTATCGTACTATGCTCCACACCTCAAAGTCCCACCACGTGACCACGTATGGAATGCAGTCTTTTGAAAATTTGGCATTTAAGGCTTTTCAGGTTATGTATCTGTCAAAGTATAGTCAATGAAAGAAATAATATTTATAGTGTTACCGCTTATGTTTAAGTTAATAAATCTTTATAGTATCACAATATCAATGGTTCGTTTAAGAATTTAGGAATATAAATACTGCATTTAATGAAATTCCAAAGTGTAAGGTGCAATATAAGTGATATTTTTGTGCATTGGGTCTTCATTTCTCCATAAAATAGTTTTAACTAAACATCATTTATTAAAAAAATCTAACTTCTCTATTATGAAATAAGAATATCTGTATCAAAGGTAGGTTAATGTATTAGAACAAAAAATATCATCTAATTTTGTACTTTAAGATTAGAAAAATCTATTTTGACCAAAATAAATAAGTGGATTATTTGAAAGAGTGTTAATATGGCCATAAATAAATATAGGTATACTAAATAATTGTTGAATATAGTTCAAATTATTAAATTGATTTTTTAATAACACATTATACAGTCTTTTAAATAATCAAAAATACTTATTTATTTTGGTCAAAATAAATTTTTCTAACCTTAAAATTACAAAATGAGATGATATTTTTGTTATAATATATTAACCTACCTTTAATACAGATATTCTTATTCCATAATAGAGAAGCTAGATTTCTTTAAATAAATGCTGTTTAGTTAAAATTATTTTATGGAGAAAACCAGATATTTGGACCAAATGCACAAAAATAATACTTATTTAGCACCATACACTTTAGAATTTCATTAAATGCAGTATTTACATTCTTAAATTCTTAAACCATCCATTGTTATTCTAATGTTATAAAGATTTATACATTTTTAACGCCTAAACATAATATTATTTCTTTCGTTGACTATATTTTGACAGATACATAACCTGAAAAGCCTTAAATGCCAAATTTTCAAAAGACCGCGTTCCGTACGTAGTCACGTGGTGGGACTTTGAGGTGTGGAGCATAGTACTATTAATAATTATTAAACAACGTGGGGGTTTTATATCCAACAAAATAATTTTTTTTCGGAAATTATTAGTTTTTAATTATACTTTTATTTTAAAGATCAGACTATATTATATTAAAATCTTTTAAGAAATTAAAATTGTATGGTCCAATAGAAAGGTAAAATTTCGAGGTGCTAATCTTTGTTTACTTTAAAAGAACGTTATCATTAAAAACATTTTTAAACTCAAACAATGGACATTAAAAGAACGGTTTTATTAAAAACATCCTAAAACAATAAGAAATATATTTGTCGGAGGACAAAAATATAAATATAAAGTAAAAAAAAATGCAAAACCAGCATATAACGCTAAAAGCTTTCTGTAAAACGCATCTTACGGCTCTTGAATGAATTAGGGCCGGTCTCCACAAGTATTTTTCATTAGACAAAGAGCACAAAAGAAAATTTTACTTCTATTACAGTTATAAATGCTGCGAGACACTATGAATACGGCAGGTTTGAAGTCGGATATACTTTTAGTTCGGCTTGATACTTATTTTCAGGGCTGGGAGGACGCTGAAAGAGTTCCTCCACTCCATTAGTCCCCTTGTGTTTTACGAAACACTTAGTATTAATACCCCGGTTTGACACTTTAAACGATAATCTCCGATCGGGTTTCAATTTGTGTGCATGTGTGTGTGTGCTGAAGATGCACCTCCACACGGTGTGCCTAAACGAAGTTTAAGTCACACGGAGAGAAAAGTATAATGCTGATTATCATAATTATAATACCGTTTACTTTAATTTATATTACTATTTGGGACAACTATCTTGTATATTGAAAGATACTATACATATTTGGTAATTTTTAAATATCCATGTATGTTAAATATTATTATTCTCACCAATTTTGTTTTTAATTCTTATTATAATTAGATTTTTTCCATTACTAATAAATATAGTAAATTTTAAAATATTATGTTGTCATTTTAAATATAAAATATTTTTATATGTTAGCAATTAAAAATTGTAACATATTTATTGTACTTTTTAATATATTTTAAAATGTTATGAGAAAGAATTGAACCTACACCTCGCCAAAGTTTTTTGTTTTGAGTGCGTTCCATCAACTTCAAATACCGACAGACAGGTGTTTTGACCTATATTGGGTATCATCAGTGTCGACACGACACTGTCGAGCAACTTGTAGTATTGGAACACACCCAAAACAAAGAAATACCTGAGCTTATATAACATGGTTGGTAAGCCAACAGAGGCGAGATGTAAGAACATCACGTGATCCACACCGTCTAACGACGCGTCGCGACGTGGCCTTGCCGCAATCGGTACATACTATGCAACCAAGTAGGTTCAATTCTTTCTTATAAGTATTACCAGTTATGGGTCAAGAAAGTTTATTGAAGAAACTAAGAAAATTGAATGTTTAAAATGTCATGAGTTACTTTATTGTATATTATATTTAAATATATTGTTTATTTAAACCTAAAACATAAAAGTATCTTTACTTTTACTATATTTTTTATTAATGTGTAATATATTATAATATTAGATGTACACCTTAGATTTGATTAAATCATATAGTAAATATTACTATTTGTAGATAGTAAAATCAATTTACTATACGAACATATTAAAAATTAAAATTTATATTATACATTTATGATTTAGTAATATTGGTGTAATCTTTACTAAAATTGTATAATAAAAAATAGTATTTTGTATTACAATCTTAATATTGTATTGACGAATATATAATATTGTTACCCTAAAAATTTGTTAAAGTAAATTTTACTATATTTTTTTTACTATCTAAAATTTACTATTAATACATTTCTCTCCGTGCACATAAAATGCCGCCAAAAACTGATTGCAGTTTCTTGGTGACTAAAAAATGATATTTACCAAAATCCTAGCTGCTCCTCTTTACGAAATTTTTTGATTTTGATTTTTTTTAAATTTTTGTTTATTTCAAAGTCTACCTTTGTCAGAGTACACATTTGTACACCGATTTTTATAAAGTTAGAGTATATTATTGAGGAGACTTAAAGAATACTTTTTAATACTGTTCACATCATTTGATATATACAGGGTGAGCCAAAAATCGCTTATTTTTAATAAAGCAAAAGCTTAAATTCATGATTTTGGCATAACACGCAAAAAAGATTTATCCCCATTTTTTTTTTAGATATTTCTACGTTTATCAGGTTACAAAATGGCATCCTTATTAACCTTTTATAAAAAAAATAGTTTTTTAATAAAATTAAATAAAATATCGCTTAGAGAATATTTAAAATGTTGTTTAATTTAGGCTTTTTAGTAGTTTTTAATTTTGAACGAAAAACTGGTTAAAGTTTTTTGATCGGCACTCTTTGGAGATTTAAAAACGATATTCACCAAAATTCTAACTGCTTTTTTTTATTTGTTAAAAAATCATTTTTTTATTATTTATTTGTTTATCGCTAAGTCTACCTTTGCCAGAGTACACATTTGTACACCGATTTTTATTGATTGCAGTTTCTTGTTCGGAACCCTTTGGTAACTTTAAAAAGATATTTGCCAAAATCCTAGCTGTTCCTATTTTCGAAATTTATTGAAAATTCTTTTTTTTTAATTTTTGTTTATCTTACCTTTAATAGAGTACACATTTGTACACCGATTTTTATAATATTGGAGTATATTGTTAACTGAGCACAACATTAGATTTATACAGGGTTAGCCAAAAATCACTTTTTTATATAGTAAAAAGCATAATGCACTTTATTTATATCGAAAAAATGTTATTTTATTTAATTTTATTCAAAATAAATTTTTCTTATAAATTCTTAATAAGAATCACATTTTGTAGCCTGATAAACATAAAAATATCTAAAAAAAAACATGGATGGGTATATATCTTTTTTGCTTGTTATGCCAAAATCATGAATTTACGCTTTTGCTTTATTAAAAGAAGCGATTTTTGGCTAATCCTGTATATATTAAATGATGTGCACAGTACAAAAAAGAATTCTCCAAATTTTCTTAACAATATACTCCAATATTATAAAAATCGGTGTACAAATGTGTACTCTGTCAAAAGTAGACTTTAAAATAAAAAAAAATTTAAAAAAAAAATCGTGAATTTTCAAAAAATTTCCAAAAGAGAAGTAGCTAGGATTTTTATTTAAGTCACCAAATGGTCCCGAACAAGAAACTGCATTTAGTTTTTGGTGGCATTTTTATGTGACTTAAACTTTGTTCAGGTACACCGTGTCTACGAAAAAACTAAAACCTACGACTTGGGAATTTTTATCTTTATTCCTTATTTCTATGATGCTAAGTAAAGGAGCGCCTTTAAAAGCCTCTACACTCACAATTTAAATTATATTTTCACCCCTTTTTAAATCATACACCATTTAAGATCTAAATTATTCAACAGATCGAACACCACAGCATCTTTAAACGTGTATAAAATATTTAGCGAATGTTTTTTGGTAGGTAATTAATTTATACACAGTAAAAAATTTTGCCCGTGTAAATTTTTTAGTGTAGGGGTAAAAATATTAGAGTTGATTTGTAAGTGTAAAAGTTACACTAGGTAGCATTTAGTGCTTATTAACTTTATTAAACACATTTAAAGAATATGAACATTATTCATTGGTACATTCACACTATTTATTATTAAAATAAATCAAAAGGGTAGAAAAACCTAATGCGAGTGTTTATTACCCCTTAATGCGTTAAATAGTGACAAAATGTACACTACAGTGCATGCCAATTTCTTTGTCTGTGTTGATGGTACTAAGAGCT